TTCATGACCAACCCTGTGACCTGATGTACATCACTTGTCCTCTCAGCACTCTACTTGCCTATGGAAGTGATACTGTCAGGCCCTTACTAAAGTCAAAAGCTCTCCACACGTGTTGTCTTTGCCGAACCAAGCAGGGCTGGTTTGGTCACATCTGTCTCTTTGTGCAACTTGAAAAACGTCCAGCAGAGAGCTGCAAAGAAGAGTTAAGATTTCTAAAATATCCCTGCAGAAAGGTTAAAGGATTTGATGGATTCTATCTTAAGAACAGAGATTTAATAACCGTCTTCAAACAGATGAAGAGCTTTCACCCAGGGCCAGTGAGAGCCTGGAGACCACGTGTTCTCAGTCTGCACAGAGCGGCAATGGGAGGAACCAGACTCCAAGGGGAAGATGCTAACATTAAAGCCCTCAGGATGCAAAAGAGTGGCTCTCAGATCATGGAGAATGTCTGGCAGGGAACTACTTCATTTGGGGAATGGTGAGGAAGAGAGAGATGAAGGGACAAAACCATGGCTGGATCAGAACTCTATAGGAAGCAATCTCAGCCCCTGGTACATATAGGTTTGTTCTATAAGTTGCCCCTTTGTTACCTTGCTCTGTTTTTAACCTTGGTGAGCACACCACATCCAAAGTTAGAAACCTGACCTCTAATTATTTCCTTGAATACCCTGCTGGCTGCAATCAAGGTAACTGTAGAACTATGCTATGGTTGTTTGAATGAGAAATGTCCCTCACAGGCTCAAGTATTTGAACACCTGTCTCCAGTTGGTGGTATTCTCTGGGGTGGTCATAAAAGCTTTAGGAGATGCAGACTTGCTGGAGGACTTATGCTGCTGTGGGCTGGCTTTGAGTGTTTACATCCTGACCCTACTTCCAGTTCATTCTCTCTGTTTCATGTTTGCTGTTGAAGATATGAGATCTCATCTCACATCTCACAGGAGATCCTGTTCCTGCTGCCATGACTAGTATTTACTGGCTTGCCTCCCTGCCATGATGAACTTTGATCCCTCTGAAACTATAAACCAAAATAAACTCTTCTGTGAGTTGCTTCTAGTCACAGCAACAGAAAAGTAACTAATACGTATTCCCACCTCCCTGCCCTCAGGTCTCCAGGCTTTGGATATTTACTGAGCATCTTTTGTTTGTAAGGACGCTGTCTCAAAGCCTTGTTCTTTTAGTGACCCTTCCATAATACCCAGCACAGGTTTGCTTCAGTCTGAATTAGGCTTACTTTGAGTGACAAGAATGGAATGTTCAAAGTAAGTAAAAATGAAGTAGCAAATGTCCCTATTTTATGGGTAAGGAATCTGAAACTCTGAGATGGTCAACACTCAAGATTTCAATCCAAGTCTAACGCACTCTGAGGGAAATGCTTTCTAGAGAAGGATCTGAACATTTCAGCATCATGAGATTGCAGAAAGGAGGGGGAGGGGTACTCCTGCCCCTGCTTCTCAGCTTCTACAACCACAATGTACAATCTCATCAGAAACTTATCTAATTGTATTAGAATTGTATTATTTGTGATGTTTGTTTGCCAAAAGTCATTCAAATTATGTTGTAAACTGTATCCTATTGCAAAAATAGTTTCATGAACTGAGCATAAAAGTGAGGTCAATTTCTTGTTGCTTCTATTAGTTTAGACTCTAGAGAATTCTCTGTGATGTGCATTGCCCCTGGTTGAAAGCAAAAGAAGACCCCACAACTCACAGATCAGGCCCTGACCATCTCCCATCCAGAGGGTCTGTGAATCATTATAACTGCCATATTGTTATAATGAATAAGAAGTTACATACAAATAACAGCTAAAGCAGAGACAATAACTAATGTGCACAGCAAGAAGCAATTATGTATACATTTGAGAATTTACGTTGCTGTGTGTGCTTCTGATACCTGGGCTAATTCTGCTTTGGTCTAATCATCTGGTGAGCCTGTGATGCCGTGCTTACATGGCCTCCATTCATGATGACAGCCAAACTAAGAAATACTTCAGGGTGGGGATCACCCTAGAAGATCATGCAATATAGGTAAAGCATCTAGGACCATGCGTACCCCCCAAAGGCCATTTCTTTCACCTCATTCTACCTGATGCAGATATTAGCCATCCGTCATTCATGAGTTCTGACTGCTGTCTATTCAAATTATACCAAAGAATAAAATCACATGGCTGGAAATGACCTCAACTGTCATCTGGCCTGACCCTTTACATCTGGGGTTAGGTTCCCCGTTTTAGCCAAAGCACACATCAGTCAAATCCCATTATGAGGAACTGCACAGGACATGCAAGCAGTGGAATTTTATTAGATAGTTAGAAATTACATTATATCCTGCTCCAGCGGATGGAGATGCCCAGGCTTCCTAACAGCATGTTAGCAAGACAAAGAATCCTTTAGCACATCCTAGGAGAAGGGTATTCACACTGTTTCACCCCCACACCTTTCTCTGAGCTCTCTGAGATTTGCATGTGTTGTAACGTTTGTGCAGTTTCTATGAATATATTCTTTCTATTGATGGGGCCAGAGCATGGAGCTAGGGAAGCTGAGGAGATGCTGATGGCAGAGTGATAGAGCTCTGAAACCTTAGCCATGTCTCCTTTCAATTCTCCTTTTACCCTTTCACAGAACACATTAGGCATTTTTGCTTAAGAAAGGTGCTTGGGCAAGAATCTTTGAGTGTCTACAGTCTGTAAATCCAGCAGGGTAACAACCAAGTTTCACCCCAACTTTTCCCATGTGATCTAGCTACAGTTTCTCCTTTTCTGGGTCCTTCCTTCACCCTTGCAATTCTTACAAAACTAAAACCACCTCCAGACAAGGAACCTCCTGGCCCATAACACAGACTAGAAGGACAGATGAGTACAACACAAAAGAAGTGTAGCACAGGCCTACAAAAATTCTCCCCACCACCCACAGAAGGGATCCCAAGTCCATGAACAGCAAGAGGAAAAAAGAGTAGAAAAACATCTTCTTTCCTTCAGAGCAGCACATGCTAGCACTTTACAGATCCTGGCATGTGTCGGCGTTTCTAAAGTAAACTCTATTTTCTTTAGATGAAAGAGGTTTTTTTTAAAAAAAAAAATGGACTCAGAATTAAACCCAGTGAAAATTGCTTCAGCTATTCACATGCAACAAACCTTAGAAGCAGGAAGAAAAAAAATCAATTGCTTCTGATTTATTTATTCATTCATTGTCCATCTCCTTTCTCTCTAATGTAAAAGAAATGTCATTTATAATTTTGCAAGTCGTTAATCTTTTTGAGGAAAAAGAAAACAATCCAAGCCTGCCATTGGTTGCCCAGCATCTTGGCACAGGAAATACATGTTTAATTAAGGTTATGGAAAGAACAGAAAAAAAGGAACTGATTTTTGTTTATCAAACATTTAAACACCTACAATCAGTACACTATTACAAAATTTCAAGTCTGATAAATTGGGATTACATGCTATGCCAAGCATGTTTGCTTTATTATTTTTTTTCTTGCTATGTCATTCAGGTTGGCCTTAATGTCTTGGGTACAAGAGATCTTCCTGCCTCAGACTCCAGAGTAGATGGGACCACAATAATTAACCCCCTCAGTGGGGATAGGTTGCTTTTTTCTTCACCTGGGTAGTGGGTACAATGGTACCCATTTTGCTTTCTTTTCATGGGTCTTAAATATTTCACACTAAATACTGTTATATCCTCAACTCTCCCACAACATGTTCTATTCTTGGCTGTTCTGCGCTGAGAACAAGAAGGGAAGGGCAGAAATGCCAAAGTGTAATTAGAATAAAGAGCAGGATATGTAAGAATCCAATTCTGAAAAGATGTTTGAAGATTCTAACCTATGTCAAAGCATTGAGATCTCCTGAAAAGGGACCTCTTCCTAGTTGTGACCCCAATGTGCACATGATTATTGAATTATTCTGAATACCTGTTGAAACTGACGATGAATAAGCCAGATGAAAATTAGCAGGCTCCACTATCAAATACATCTTTTGACAAGTGCCTTGGAACTTAACATACATAATCTTTCTTCCCATCGCAGTCTTCACCTAGAGACTGTGTGTGGGTTGTGACTCTGTAACTCCAGCTGGGGTAGCTAAGGAGCAGAAGTGTCCATCTTTCCCCGAGGGACACAGACCCCAAACACTTTTTTTTTCTCGTTGCTAAGAAGCAGCAGCCAGTGTTCCAATCTCTCTACCACACCATTAATACCAACTGTTCTGTCCTCTAACCCACAGGGAGAGAAAGAGAAGAGGAAAGAAGATTCAACACATACATTTCTATCCGATCCCCAGTCCCATCTAGAACTGAGGTCTGCCATGCTTGTCTCGTCCCTGTCTGGACAAGGCTTCATTTTCTTCATTTCCCTTCTGCCCTGATTGTTCAGGCTTCACCAGACTCATCCATTTGCTCTTAAGAGATATTAAGTGAACAAAGGGGGAAAAAAGTCAAGAGGATGTAAAAAGAAGAGAGAAGAAAACGGTAACTATCAGAGAAAAATCTACACATTATCTGGTCACCCAGCGGGAAGTGAGTTCTTCCCTCAGCCTCCTATTTTTCTTTAAGAACAAGTTTTTTGCCTTTGAAAGAACTGGCAAAATAATCTGTAAACAAACCAAAAAAGTAAGATTCTGAAGTCTGTCACCTTGTTTGTTTCATTTCTGAATACCGTTAGACCAACTGGTTTTACTTCCTTCTTGCCACACGCACACAAACCCCACTTGAGCCTCCTGGGAGAAGGTGCCAATCTGCTGGCACCTGCCCCGTACACAGCACTTGGAAATGCCTGTGTTATTGTCCTGTTGTCAAGTGAGAAATCTCCCTGTGCTCCACCATTAACAGATGGCTGGTTCCTTTTTGTACACAAGCATAATGTCTCCAAAATAACCTTCTCCTTTTAAAGTATGCCAACTAATTAAATGTCACTACGATAATGTCCTGGCCAAGAAGAGAAGGGAGAGACCCAGAAGACAAAGGATCAATAGAACAGAACAAGGATGAGAGGTCATGCTCTCCTACCTTCACCCGATGACCCCGAGAGATCGATGATCACATACACTTTTCCTTCTGGCTCCAGATCAATCTGCAATCAAGAAAGCAACAGTGACTCTGTTAGTGCATTGTGTGGGCAGCCTGAGGGTTCCACCTTTCTACTCCAAGCTGCTAAAACCTAGAGCCACAGCTTCATGTCACTCATCAGCCCACACTGCGCTAGGTGAATTAGGAATGAAGGAGAATCAATAATGACTGAATGTCTACTGTGTATCAAGTGCTGTCCTTGGAGGTCTGACACATACCCAAAAGGGAGTATCATATCAGTGGTTCTAAACTGGGAGGGATTCTGCTCCACAAGGGACATTTGATTTCTAGAGACATGTTTGTCTAGAAACTGATGGTGATAACTGGTGGAGAGAATGCCATAAATGGTATCTAAGGGCAAAGAGGCGGGGAAGTGACAGGGTATAGGATAGCCCCTACAACACAGAATCATCCAGCCCCCCAGATCAACAGTACAAAACTTGAAAACCTTTGTATTGTCCCCTGTTACAGATAAGGAAACTGTGCTTAAAGTTCCAAGGTAAATGACAATGCTGATCCTCAATGTCAAGATCATCCATAGAAACTCTTGTTCATTATTCTGTATGACCACCTCTCGGCAAAATAAGAGATGTATAAGACATCATTGCTTCTCTCGCTATGATTAAAATCTCATCAGGGAGTTCAAAAACAGAACAGTGCTGACTGAACCCAGCTTAATGAGAGTGAGAAAATAAATAATAGGTATCATATCTAAGGATCCTGAAACCAGTGCAGAAGAGTAGTCTGGGAATTAACAAAAAACAACACCTCAGAAAATGCACTGTACTTGTGCATGACTGAAGGATTCTCACGCTCAGGTCATGCGAAGGCTGCACAGGTGTTTTGCAAACTCCAGATTCTAGCCAGGTTAAGAGAAAGCCAGTACTGCTAACTGCTTACTAATGACCTTCTCCACTCATCTGCAACTTGCTCGCTCCCATCCTCAAAGCTAACTACTTCTGCTATACAGAACTAAGTTGATACTATCAGGCAGTGGGACAAAAATCAGAGGACTAGACCTCTTAAGACATCTTTGCAAGGTCTGAACTCTCCTTGTAGAAACTGTGCTCTCCGTAAGAAAGCGTACTGACTCTGGAAACCCTGGATCTCCAACATCCCTCCCCATTAAACTCCCCCACCTCCGCAATCCCATCTGTCTATACAGAGCTCTAATTGGTTCACCAGTGCCTGGTTCTCTCCCCAACAAGCTGTGCGTTTCTTGAGGGCAGGAACAACCATCCCTTGCTTTTATTTTTCCACTGTCCCCAGCAAACACCAAGCACACACTTAGCAAGTAATTCTTAGGAAGAGACAGTCTGATGGATACCACCTGCTCCTTCAAGGTCAAGGGCAATTATTGTCTCCTCTGTGAAGCTTTTCCAGATACTCCCATCAGGATTCATTCCTCCCTCATCTGAGTTCCCACAGCACAACAGACATGCCCTAATTATGGCTCCTATGAAACTGTAGCACAATGTCCACATAGTTCTCTTTCCCACTAGACAGAAAGTGTGGGGACTGTATATCCAACCCTGCTCAATTCTCTTGATCAGGAAACACGGAACACACATTTGTAGGGATGGAAAATGGCTCTGAAGTCAGAATTTCTAGAGCATATTCTGGGTTATTCACCCCTCCAAGCCCTGTCACCAGGGAGGAAAACAGGCCTTTGGTCTGTACTAAAGTGGCATTTGAATGAGAGGTAATGACTGGTAGTCTGATGTGAGTACCTTATATAAGTATCAGTGTGAGGCAGAGAAACTCAGCTTGAACTGATGCTCTCTCCAGGTTGTCCCTGCTGTTTCCAGAGTTCAGGTTTCCAGAGCCGCTCGGGAGCTCTGCTGCATGGCTGGACTTAGCCTCTCACGGCTGAGAATGCTTACTGTTTCCCATGAAGTTTTCATGTTTATCAAAGGGGTCTTCGATGCCTCATGGATGAGGCCATTGGGGGAAGTCTAAGTACTCTGTCAGGATAGAAAGTGAGGGAATGCAGCGGGAAGATCTACACTGCTCTCAGGAATTCCACTGGGTCCACTTACCTGAGCCTGGGATCCAGATGGTAATCAACTACCCAATCAAGGATCCCGTATAATGACTTTCTCATCCATTCCACCCCAAGAGTTCATGGTTTTAAGTTTATGGATGAAGCAAAGGTTCCCCGGGACTCTCAGACACTACTACCGACCCCACCACACATATACCAGTCCTTGCACAGAATTATAAACAGGAAAACCAGTCATCAGCCCTACAGAGCAGAGCCAAATCAGAATTCTGTTTCTTCCAAAGTTCAAAATGACCAGGAGCCCTTTTGCCCCCAAGCATGGAATTCAAAATAATGTATGCCTTTTAGTGATTAGATCATCCCTGCTAAACTCCAAATGAAATGAAACATTCTCTCATATCCTTCAAGTCAAAGATTTCTCAGGACCGTGGACTTTATTGGTGAAGCACAATACCATCTGTGAAAAACAGGGAGGAGGACAGCAGAAGAATGAGATGGGCAGCGAGGCATTTCCAAAGGCAGGCACTGAGCCTATCTCTGCAAAAGGGGAGTGAGGACTCGTGGCAGGGAGGACAGGTCATTGATGATAAAATGTATTAGGATATTAACATTCAAGATAGCAATCAGAAACCATTTTAGTACCCACTGCTCCCTCAGTGCTGGTGAACTGCATTTCCCAACAGAAATATAGGAATTAAGCCATTAAACATGCCAAAAGCAACAAAGAGCTTTGCAGTCTGAACAGATGGCTTCAGAGCAGCCGCCAAGCCCCAGCCAGCAAAGTAAGAAGGCTCTGAGACTCCATCCAGGGTGGCGGGACATCAGTGTCAGGGACTGGAAGGGTGGCTGAGTACAAAAGGTAGTAGAGTGGGTGGGACTTCACAGCCAAATTCATGTCATCACAAATTCTGCTCATGATTCCGTGGCCCAGATAATGAAGTCATGTGGGTGCCCAGTCCTGTACAACTCTGCAGTCTATTAGTGGGCATCAGCACCAGGCAGCTGGAACTACTTAATAACAGATCCCACACTTCCCCCTCAGCCATTCACGGGCTGGGTCTGAATGCCCCCCTGCACTGTAGGCTCCCTCCAGTTGTCCCAGATGTAGCCCTATTCATCAAATCTTTTTAGGCTTCTTACCTCTCCTTGACAGACTTCCTAGCTACGTTCCCTAGTCTGACTTTTCTGTTAGACTATGAGCTGTCATCAAGGTGGAGCACCTTTGGCTACCCCTCCAGCCAGGGCCAAAAGCCAAGAAAACAGTGGGGGAGAGGACCATGGTCTTTGGCATCAGACCAGACTTGAACCTAGTTCTGTTCCCTACTCAAAAAGTAACTACAGACAACTATTTCTTCTCCATAAACCTTGGCTTCTTCATCTGTGAAATGGGTTGTTTTGGAAATTGCATGAAATGGTCATGCAAAGCACTTGGCCCTGAGGACTCAGTGTGTGGTAAGGAGAGAACTGACTGGCAGGGTGAAGTAAGCAGCCATCCTCTCTCAGCCTCACACTGCTTTTCAGTGACACAAAGCAAGCAATAAGCTGTGCGTCATCTGAGCTGTTGTGAGGATCAACGGAATCTTCTACATAAAGGGCTTAGTGTATGGCTGACACACAATAGTTATCATTAGTGCTGTTATTAAAAGGCCAGTTCTATGGGCTGGAGTGATGGCTCAGAGGTTAAGGGCACTCACTGCTCTCACAGAGAACCAGAGTTCAGTTCCCAGCACCCACATGGAAGCTAATAACCATCTTTAACTCTAGTTCCAGGGGGTCCAATACCCTCTTCTGGTTTCTACAGGCACTGTATGCTCATGATACACTAACATATAATGAAGGTCAAGTTCAGGGTCTGTAAGATGACTCATTGGTTAAAGGCCCTTGCCACCAAGTCTGATGACCTGAGTTTGATCCCTAGGACATATTTGGTGGAGACAGAGAACCAACCACTCCCACAAGTGGTTCTCTGACCGCATATGATATGCCATGCCATGCACGCACACACTCTCACACACAAATGATAATAATTAATTAATTTTTTAAAAGACCAAATCTTCAAGTTCCTTGCTTCACAGTCCAACATTCTTTCCACTTTAAGAAGACTTCTCCTTTAAAAGAAAGCCATTTTGTGTCCCAAGCTGATGTGTTATTACAGGATATCTGATGACTGTAGACAGTGGTATTGTGAATCATCGTTTGATTCATCAAAACAGGTGCATTCAGAATCCAGTCTGGGGGAAACCCAGAAGCAAGCATAGCCATCCCCTGGGAAGTAGCAGGTCTGAGTGCCATAAGAAATGGAAGAGGAGGGTAGTCACTGGTTTTCTCTGTATTTACTTTGCTTCGAACACTGAGTTGGATGCTTCACCTGCCTTGGTTCTTATGGGGTCAATGACAGTCTCTGATTTCCAGATAGGAAATTGGGATACAGAAAGCTTTCAGCAGAAGTGCCCACCCAGAGCTCGCCAAGCACATAGGGAATAGCGCAGTCAGAACCAGGTCAGATGCATGCCCCCAGTTCCATCTAGTCTATGGAGGCTTCTCTCACAGCCTGTCTATGGTGCTTTCCTCCTTCTAGTCTGAGCTTCAGTGTTCATTCTCCTCTTCATGAGCCACTGACTTCCAAAGACGGGCCTTCCTAACACAAAGTGGTGCCTCCCACACCATCGACTCCCTACTGAGTGGAAGGTTTGAATATAGACTCATTTCAACCAAGGACAATGCAATGGAGAAAGTGCCCACTGCCCAGAAACTTTTTAAATAGCAGTGTCTATGACACAAAGAATCACAGGGGCTTCTTTTGTGTGGCTGACTATTTTCAAAGTCCTTCATACATCTGATTTTATTTACTCCTTACAATTAATACTGTAAGGTAACAGGTACTGTGTCCTTCTATGAATAAGCAAGTTTAACCAGATGTGGTAGCACACGCCTAAAATGTCAATACTCCAGAAGGGAAGTAGAGACAGGAAGACCATGAGTTCAAGATAAAACCCTATCTT